GCGATCTCTGGTCTCAGACTTTTGCCGCGTCCAGGGTTGAGCCACGTCCTTCGCCCATCGACAACGGCAGGTTCGACGACATTGTCGAGGATGTTGAAGTGGAGGAGCTTCTGATGCAACCTGAACACTTGCTGTCCGCGTGGCTCGGCTTCTTGTCGGACCCGCGGCCCGATCCATATGTTGACCGAACACGTTCTGGCGCTGCCTCGTCTCTCAGTCCATCGGGCGGGGTATCTACCATGTCGCGTCCTCCCCCATGCTCTTCGTTGTGCTTCTTGAGGTTATTGATCAAGGGGCTTCCGCCAAATCCTATTCGCCGCCGTGTGGCGGGCGGATCATCTCCCGAATTATCGTGGATGACGCTTCTGGGTGCGCTTCGACTCCCCCTCCCCCTCCCTTTCCTCCCCCCCCCCTCCTCCTCCTCCTCCTCCTCCTCCTCCTCCTCCTCCTCCTCCTCCTCCTTCTCCTCCTCCTCCGCCCCCTCCTCCGCCTCCCGAGGCAGCGAACGCCGGCACTTCCGCGGCCGAAGCCCCAGAGCAGCCGACGAGTGGGCGATTGAAGCCGCCGACAAGCCGAGGAGCCGTGGTCTGGCTGCTGGCAGAAGATGCGAAGAGCCCCAAGGACGGGCCGCCGACGAGTGGGTGGCCGAAGCCCAGCCCGAGCTCGGATGACGACGTGCCCATGCGAAGGAGAGCAGCCGTGCGGTCTCGAACCTCTGGGTCAAGCAGTTGCGAGACCGTGGAGAAGCCCGAGTTTAACGCTGACGACAATGGCATGGAGGCGCATGGGATGGACGGCCCGCAAGGGGCCGCCTGTGGCCGACGGCCGAGCATCCCTGATCGTCCCCGCGACCGTGCCGACGCGCCAGGAAGCGGCGCTCGGCCCGGCCGCGGCCGATGCCCCAGAGCCGACGGCGAGCGAGTGGCCGAAGCGTCCGACAGGCCGTTGTGCATTCGCTGGCGGAAGCGAAGAGCCCCAAGGACTGGTCGCTGACGAGTGGGTGGTCGCTGCCCAGCCCAAGGGATTCAGCGCCCCTGGGCAGCCGACGGGGGGGTGGTCGATGCCGCGGGGGATGTTCGCCACGCCGCCAACGTGCCGTCGGGGGGGCTGGGCGGGTTGGGCCAGGCCCTAGCGCCTAGTGGGGATGGGGGCGGTTGGGCGCCACCCGCGAACCCAGGCAACGTAGTGCTAGACGTGCCGCGGGTGCACGGGCGAGCGGGCGCCCGACCATTCCTGCCGGGCGCCGACGACAACAATGTGCGGATGCAAGGAATGGACAATTCGCGGGGGGTTGCGTGTGGCCGATGGCCCAGCAACCTTGGGCGCGCCCGTGCCCGTGCAGATGAGATGCGGCGGCTGCCAGCCCAATCGCAGCAGGGCCCCGGAGCAGCGGGCGAGAGGGTGATTGAAGCGCTGGGCGGGGCCGAGGGCCGAGGCCATGCCGCTGGTGGAGGAAACGAGCCCCCAGGGCTGGCCACTGACGAGCGAGTGGTCGCAGCCCAGCCCAAGGGGCTCGGCAGCGCCAGGCCGCTGACGCGCGGGTGGCCGAAGCCCAGCCCGAGCTGGGATGGGGCCAGGGCAACGTCGACATGCCCAGGCGAAGGAAAGCTGCCGCGCGGTCTCGAACCCCGAGGGCAGGCAGCTGGGAGACTGTGAGGCCTAGGTTGAACGCTGACGACAATGGCATGGAGGTGCGCGGGATGGACGGCCCGCGAGGGACCGCCGGCGGCCGACGGCCGAGCACCCCTGATCGTCCCTGCGACCGTGCCGACGCGCGAGGGGGCGGCGCCCAGCCTGGCCGCGGTCGAAGCCTCGGAGCCGACGTCGGGCGAGCGGCCGAAGCCTCCGACGTGACTAGAGTCTGTTGTGCTGCTGCTGGCGGAAGCGAAGAGCTCCAAGGACTGGCCGCTGACGAGTGGGTGGTCGCTGCCCAGCCCAAGGGATTCAGCGCGCCTGGGCCGCCGACGGGCGGGCGGGTGGCCCATGCCTCGGGTCGGGCTCGAGATGGAACCGGCGCGCAGACGGGGGCTGGGCGGGTTGGGCCAGATCGCAGCGCCCAGCGGGGATGGGGGGGCCAGGGGCTCCACGTGACACCAGGCGCCCCGAAGCCCAACGGCCCCCAGGAGTGCGAGCCAGCTGACCCAGGGCATTCCGCTGGTGGAAGCAAAGGGCGCGAAGGATTGGCCACTGACGAGTGGGTGGTCGTAGCCCAGCCCAAAGGGGCTCAGCCTTCCTGGGCTGCCGACGGGCGGATGGTCGACGCTCCAGGAGTGGCGCCAGCATGCAGCCAGGAGAGGTGGGCGGCTTGGGCCAGGTCCCGGCGCCTAGCTGGGGCGACCTGGCGCCTCCTGCAACCCTGGCCACTTGCGAACCAGCTGCGAAGAACCGTGCCGCCCATCCCTTCGTGCTTGAGGCGGAGAGCCAACTGCGCGGGTTGGCCGCGCACCTCGAGCAGCTCGCGGCATGGCGCGCGTTGCGGGGGCGGATGCGACTTGGGAAGACGAGTGTGTCGGCCATATCATGATAGTTCTCCGAGGAGACTAGTATGCAGCACTGTGCGAAGGCATGTCGGCAGAAGCTGCGGGGCGAGCGAGGCGTCGCAAGGCGCGGGGGGTGCGCGGGCGTCTGGGGGGCCACTCGCGCGCGCCGTGGGAGGGGCCGGGACAGACTGTCCAGCGCGGGTGGGGGCGAGTGCAGCAGACAGCTCGCGGACCTCCAGTGCAGCGAGCGCGTCGCGATGGGGGTTCCCGGGCATGTATCCATCTCTCTGTTGCCTCCGCGATTGGAGGGCTGAGGCGGAAGCAGATCCAGACGAAGAACACCCGAGCAGATGCAAAGCGCCCGCGTTCGCGCTTTCCCAGGCGCGCCACCTCCCCGCAGTCCCGCGGTGCCCCCCGACCGGTGCGAAAGGGGGGGGGGTCCGAGGTGGATTCAGAGGGCGTCGGCGAGGCGGCCGAACCCCGGGCGAGAGAGGCGATGGGCAGCGCGGCCAAGGCGACGGCAGCGGCTGGCGCGGCAGGGGGGCCAAGCTGCGAGGTGGCGCGGCCGTCGCCGCGGACGCCGGGGGCGGTGGCGGCGCGGGCGCAGGGGCCGAGGGCGCGCACTGGCGAAGCAGACGCCGAGGCCCCCAGAAAAAGGGCCCAGCGGGGCCGCGCCCTCCTACCAAGCAGCTCAGGCCCCCGTCGAGGAGAGACGCAGCAGGTCTCGGGGCTGGAGACGATCTCCAACGGACGAAACCAGCGGGCGACCCAGGCGCCGCAGCCGCCCCAGACGGCGCCCCGACGTTGGAGACCACGGCAATCGCGGCAGGGAACGGTGGCGCGCCGCGGGGGCGGCTGCGCAGCCACGTGGCCCCATTCCAAAGGGCGAAGGGCCCGCGCGGGGCGGGCGTGACCAATGCGGCAAAGAGGGCAGAGGACCTCACGCCAGCTGGACAGACACAAAAGGAGGAAGGTGACGCGGCTGAGGTGCAGAGCTCGGACGAGGTCTGCGCCGACGACGCCGAGCTCACCCTGGCCGCGCTGGCAGAGCGGCGGCAGCAGCCAGGTGACTGCGCGGCTGATCGGCTCCGCGCGGAGCTCGCTGCCCGCCTGGCCCGTGCGGCAGCAGCAGCAGCAGCAGCAGCAGCAGCAGCAGCAGCAGCAGCAGCAGCAGCTGGAGGACCTGATCGCCATAGCAGCGAGGACGGTTCGCCCGAAAACGCACCGTAGAGGACGCAGAGAGGGCAGGAGCTGCCCGCCGTCACCAGAGCAGAGTGGCGGGCCCGCCTTGAGGAGCAGGCGGCAGGAGCCCGTGCTCGAGAGCAGCTCCAGAGGCTGTATCAGGACGCAGCTCAACAGGAGAGGCGCGGCGGCGGGGCGGCCAGACCCGGGCCGCCTAGCAGGCGAGTTCGAGCTGCCGCCGACCTCGCGGCAGACTGGGCGCGAGCGGCCGCGGGCCCCTCGATCCACCTCCTGCTGAAGGCCTGAGGGCGACTGCGGCGGGCAGGCCTGTGCGCCGCGCGGGCTGCCGCGCGGCGCAGCGGTGCGCTCGGCCGCGCGGAGGCGGGGACGGACGGGTGGGGGTTCGCGACGGGCGCCCCCCCCGCCCCCCCCACAGACGTCCGAAAAAGACGTCCTGCTCCTCCTCCTCTTCCGCCTCCTCCTCCTCCTCCTCCTCCTCCTCCTCCTCCTCCTCCTCCTCCTCCTCCTCCCCTCCTGCTCCTGCTGCTGTTGCTTCTGCTCGTCCTCCTCTTCCTCCTCCTCCTCCTCCCTGAGGGACCTAAATTGTCCTTTGTGTGATCACGATGAATTTTCTTGTCTTGATTCTTTGCATCGCCATCTACACCATTGCCATTTGGCCTCAATGCGCGTTTCAGCATCCAGCAGTGTACCCGCAGTTCTTCCGCAGCTTTCTGCCATGCGTGATCGAGTTGCTGCCCGCGGGGCGGCTGCGCGCAATCGGCCCGATGAGCGACGGATGCAAGAACTTCCTGCGGGCTCCGGAGGCGAAGTCCGGGGACAAGCGTCAGAAGAAGGATGACTCCGAGGGGAACGAGAGCACCAAGCGGGACGAGCTCATCTTGCTCGCGCAGGTGGCCGCGGAGAGCCGCGCGCACGCAGCGTCCCTGTATCGTACTTGGTTGGTTCCGGGCGAGGTGGGGGAGCAGTTCTTCGACAACATGAAGCAGGCGGTCGCCAATTATGAGAAAGCCACGAAGGGCAAGAAGGGCCACAAGACCGGGATCCCATGCCAGCGCGCCCTGATCGCAGCGTTTCTTACGGCCCAGACCCACTTCACCGACCAGAGCAAGGAGTACAAGATCATCGAGGAGACGCTGAAGAGGTTCCCAGAACCCGTGAAAGTCGGGAGGGACGTCTTGGAATTCTGGGGCTACGAAGCGCGGGAAAAAGGCCATCGTTTCCGGTACCGTCTCGGAGAGGACGTACCCGCTCAGATCAAGGAGGCGGTGGGCATCGTGACCCAGATTTGGGAGGGCGCCAGCGGCGAGGAGATTCTCGGGCAGGCCCCCGCGAACAAGCGTGAACGCAACCTCCAGGGACGCATCAAGCGCATGAAGGATTGAGCGCACGCGTGCTCAGGTGGCTCGGCACACTGCGGTGCGTACCGCCCGGTTTGGCCATTGTCTGGCCCGGCGGATTCGCCTTTCCGTGTCCCTGGTCCTGGGGAAGGGGACCTCCGTACGTGTCACCCCCCAGCAGGTGAGGAACCATTCTTCTGCTAAATCTAGTTGACCACGTCGCCCACGATGCATCCAAGTGCCAGCCCAGCTGTCCTGCAGTGTTGATTCATTTTTCCCACGATTTGGCTGGGGATGCGTCTCTGGGGTGTGTCCTACCTACCTACCTACCTACCTACCTCCCTGAAGATCGTGCGCCCCGCCTCCAAGAAGGCGGGCCGCGGCCGCTCGATGACGGGCCTGTCGCGGGCACGGCGGCGGGCCCCCCCCGCCTCAGGGGGTGATTCGGGCGCGGGGGCCGACAGAGGCCGGGGTCGGGAGGGACACAATTACCACTACCACCAGCCAGGGGGGTGGCCGCTCCCTCCCTTCGGGCTGGTGGCACCTCCTTCCGGGCACTTTTTGGGGGCATGCCAAGGACGAGGTGCCACCAGCTCGAGGGGGTGGGGCAGCCTCCTTTTCAGCTGGTGGTGGAAGTACTTTTGTCTCTGGCGATGTGGGGCTGGCGGCGGATGCTAAGTCCGTGCGGAGTAATGCCATGCGTCGGAGGAGGAAAGGTATGCATACCGCTACTTTTCTATCGTTTTTGCTCTGTTTGGGCCTCCTGGAAGGCCGTCGTCGCCACCGCTGGATTCGCTCCGAAATCCTGGTCAGAACGCGCCCAGGGAGAGGTCCAGAGTGTAGCGTTATGGGTTCCTTTTTTGTCTCCCCACATACGGAGTGCTCGGTGTCCAGCTGGGCTGGCTCCGTCTGGACTCTCCTGATAGGAGGCTAAGTCCATACGGAGTAAGTCCATCACGGAGTGCTCGGTGCCCGTCTGGGCTCTCTCCGTCTGGATTTAGCCTTTCCTGAGGTTGGTGGGGTCGATGCCGACTTCTCTCAGCGCGGCGCGCTTCATGGCCCTGCAGTGCACTTCATGGTCGGGGCCCTCCCACTTCTGCGTCGCCTCTCCCTTGAGCAGCACCCTGTCGTATTTGCCGAGCAGCGCGTCGATGGGGTCGGCCTCCAGCTCCGAGATAGCCCAGTCCGGACGGACAATTCCCCGAGGCTGGGGCGTTGTTTGCTTCACACCGGCCGTTGTCGCCCTTTTTTTCGGGCCAGGGGGGCCCTCACAGATCGATGCGACTCGGGACATGGCGCAGAAAGACGGGGTCTAGATGTCCGGTCGTGATTTCTCGCGATGTTGTCATTTTTCGTGGCCGTTCGATCGGGCTGGGCCTTTGGGCCGCGACCCCGAGGCCGAGGACACGGGGCGTTTTTTCGCGGGTGCTCCGCGCGACCGCGTGTCCGCAGCATCGCGCCCCAAAATCTGGACACCGAGGGCGCGGATATGAACATGTTCGCCGCTCGTGACGGCGTCCTCGCCTCCCAGGCTGGCGGGCCCAGTGGCGGCAGTCAGCGTTGGCGCCGTCCAGGGCTGGTGGGGCTGGGCAGGGGCAAGTGGCGGCAGCTGGCGTTGGCATCGGCTGGGGCTGGTGGGGGCAAGTGTTGGCCCGGGGGCTTAGCCTTGGTGCCACCTGGGGCTGGCGAAGCTGGGCAGGGGCCTCTCCGTACTTTTTGCTGCAGGGTGACGGGGCTGGCAGCGGCCGAAGGCGGCAACCAGAAACAGCGCTGGTAGTACCGGCTAACATAGGTCATGGTAATGAATGGACGCGCATTTTTAACACAAGTTAGTGAAGAAACGATGATTTATTGAAGCGAAACGCAAACACTGGCGTAGTAAATTCAAAAACTGATCTTCTAGTTCGGGGGCCGTTTTTCTAAATCTTGATCTTATCCTTACCATGACCTAAGTGGCTCGATCTCGACCCCTGCCCAACGCAAGCTATGTTTGGAGAGCTATGGACGTCACGATTTCAGAACAGGAGGCGCTCAGGATGCGGCTAGTTGACATGCTGCGCACACCCCAAGGGGTGTCAGCCGGACCCTCCAGAGCGGCTCGACTCGATGGTCGGCGGGCTCGCCAAGCTTGGCAAAGAGCGGGTTATCTTGTCATTTGCGCCAAAGGACAGCCGTTTTCAGTTTGCAGTGCCAATGGCTTCTTCTCCGCTTACTTCCCTCTTGGGCTCCTGACCTGTGCCTCCTTGCTCTTTGCCTGCGAGCAGACATGTCTACCAGCCAGCGCCAGGTGGACTAGCGGGTCCGGCAAGTGCTTCCGAACTCTTCCGCTTTTCCCCGAGCAATGATCGCATTCGGAGGTCTTGTCCGAACGTGCTTTGTGAAAGGCTGGGGCGTCGGGCTTGAAATACCTTGACACGTATATTCATGAAACGTGCTCTCGATTGAGCGTTGGCCATATTCCTACCTGGAATTGGTTCTCTCTCTTGGGTGCCAGTCATGCTCACCCCCAAGTGTCGCTGTTTCCCGAGTGCGGGCCACGTGCATGCCTCGGAAGTGCCTCCCGCTTGGGTGCCGGCCACACTCTTGGCTCGGCATGCTGCTCTCGCTTCAGCGCCGTCCAGACTCCAGCCTCGGATTGGTCGCCGTCACGCAACCGCACCAGCAGCAGCAGCAGCAGTAGTAGTAGCGGTGTCACCATCGACAGCAAACAAAATACAAGTGTCAGCAGTAGTAGCAGCGGCAGCATCGCGACGACAGCCTGAGCTGGTGAATTGACAAAGTGTTCGGGGTCTCCATTCCAGGACAGTTTGTGTTGGCGCATGATCAAAATGCGCTGCTGGGCATATTCGCCACCGCGTCTTTTGGGAATCAGTACTAGCAATGCTGCAGGATTGCGCGGTTGAACATTGCATGTTTGATGCGTTGCACGTTCACGGCATGGACATGTAGCTTCGTTGTGATAGCGTGTGTGCTTGCATGCGTATGTGGCCTCTTGGGTGTCTCTTGGCAGCTGCTTGGGTGCCCTGAAGTTCAGGGCGTCCAGAGGGGCCAAGGTCGTCAAAAAGCGTCCGTCGTGCATCCTTGCGACGCGGACTGGGTTCGGAAGGCCAGCATCGGCTGGCGACGGCTCCGGCACGCCTGGAAACGGCCCTCGGTCCAGCGCGAGAGCCGCGTGAGCGAGATCTGGACAGGACGACTGAGAACCGCACCCACCAAGGGCGACGAGAGCTTCGGTCGTGCCACTCGCGGGGCGGCAGCCCCAGCTGCCCCCTTCGACCGCAGTGGCGATCGAGCAGCGGGGAAGCCGTGCGCTAAGCACAGAGGTGAGACTGCCTCGAAGTCAACCCGAACGGGCCGACTCGACTCAAATGGGCCGATGTAGATGGTCTAAAAGGCCATCGGTACAGCGACTAGCCAGAGTGTCTGCGAAGACCGCTGTGCAGCGGTGGGTGCGTGCCGGGCCCCCTTCCTTTCTGCCGCAGCACGTTTCCCCATGCGAGCTGCCCTCGTTTTAGCCCCAGCTTCTTTCTGCGTTCCCTCGCTGGCTATCAAAAGAAAAACGATCATTTCATAATGTGGGTGCCCTGTGACTCCGAACACGTCTTCCAGCAGCCCCGCAAGAAGCTCCCACAAAAGCCTTCCAGCACGTCCCAGAGATCCACACAGTTAATTCCCCAATCACAGCTTGCTTCTGTAGGGGTCCTAGCGGATTCATATGGTTAGGTTAGGTTTGCCGCCGATTTTCGCTGCACGCCCGGGTGCCTGGGTGCCCCGGGGTGCCCGGGTGCCCGGGTGCTTGGGTGCCCGGAGGGTGCCCGGGGGTGCCTGGGTGCCCGGGTGCCCGGGTGCCCGGGGGTGCCCGGGGGTGCCCGGGGGTGCCTTATAGCCCTATAGCCCTATAGCCCAATAGCCCAACAGCCCTATAGCCCTGCGACTCTATCGGAGGTGAGGGGGTGAGATCGAGTGGAACGGAGAGCCCCCCTACCGGGAAATCGGTTTCGGTTTCGTGTTCGTGCGTGCCGTGCGTGCGGGCGAGGCGAAGCTGCATGGGCAGGCGAGAAGAAAGTCTCCTCCGGTTGAGGCGCGGCCGGACCAAATGATGATTTTCCGGGGGCCGGTGGCCCGCGGTGCCCCGCCGGTGTCCCGCCTCTGGCTGAGGCGCGGCCAGACCAAGTGATTCCTTTCTGGGGGCCGGTGGCCCGCGGTATCCCGCCGGTATCCCGCCGGTGTCCCGCCGGTGTCCCGCCGGTGTCCCGCCTGTGTCCCGATGATTATGATGATGATGCTGATGATGATGATGATGATGATGATGATGATGATGATGATGATGATGCTGATGGTGATGATGATGATCATGATGATGTCGATGATGTTGATGATGATGATGATGATGATGATGATGAGGTTGGTGATGCTGATGGTGTCCCGATGCTGATGATGATGATGATGGTGATGATGATGATGTTGACGATGTTGATGATGATGATGATGATGATGGTGATGGTGGTGATGATGATGGTGTCCCGGTGATGATGATGCTGATGATGATGTTGCTGATGATGGTGATGATGGTGTCCCGATGATGATGATGATGATGATGATGATGATGATGATGATGATGATGATGATGATGATGATGATGATGATGATGATGATGGTGTTGATGATCCTGATGATGTTGATGATACAGTCGGACCGAGGTATAAGATCGAGTGCGGTTCGGGGAGGGTGCCCTTGTGTTCTTCGCGCTTGTTGGATGCTCCTGTGTATCCTGGGGAGGGTACCCTTGGGTGTTCTGTTTGTTTTGGCCGACGGAGGGTCTCATGTTCTTGAGGGGTGTTTTTCTGTCCTAGGTCCGACTGTAATGGGATGATGATGAGATGATGATGCGACGGTTGATGATGATGAATCTGATGATGATGGTGTCCCGATGATGATGATGATGATGATGATGATGATGATGATGATGATGATGACGATGATGGTGTCCCGATGATGATGATGATGATGATGATGATGATGTTAATGATGAGGATGATGATGAGGTGATGATGATGATTTTGAGCATGATGGCGCGATGATGATGGTGACGATGATGATGGTGTCCCGATGGTGATGCTGATGATGATGATGTTGATGATGTTGCTGATGATGATGGTGTCCCGATGACGATGATGTTGATGATGTTGTTCATGATGATGCTAATGATATGATGATGATGATGATGATGGTGGTGGTTTTCCGAAGACGATGATGGTGTCCCGATGATGATGTTGATGATGATGATGGTGACGATGATGGTGTCCCGATGATGATGATGATGATGATGATGATGATGATGATGAGGATGATGATGAGGTGATGATGATGATTTTGATGATGATGGCCCGATGATGATGATGATGATGATGATGATGATGATGATGATGATGATGATAATGATGGTGACGATGATGATGGTGTCCCGATGGTGATGATGATGATGATGTTGATGATGTTGCTGATGATGATGGTGTCCCGATGACGATGATGTTGATGATGTTGTTCATGATGATGCTGATGAGATGATGATGATGGTGGTGTTCCGATGGTGATGATGGTGTCCCGATGATGATGTTGATGGTGATGATGATGTTGATGATGATGATGGTGACGATGATGGTGTCCCGATGATGATGATGATGATGATGATGATGATGATGATGATGATGATGATGATGATGATGGTGACGATGATGGTGTCCCGATGATGATGATGCTGATGATGATGATGTTGATGATGATGGTGATGAGGTGGTAATTATGATGGTGTCCCAATGATGACGATGTTGATGATGACGTTGATGACGACGATGTTGATGATGATGACGTTGATTGTGAGATCGATTGTGGTATCGATAGCGAGATCGATAATGAGACCGAATGTGAGATCGATGGTGAAATCCATAGTGAGATCGATAGTGAGATCGATTGTGAGATCGATAGTCATATCGATTGTGAGATGGATCGAATGAAATAGATCGAGTGAGATCGATAGTGAGATCGACCGAGTGAGATCGATCGAGCGAGACCGATAGTGAGATCGTTTGTGAGATCGATAGTGAGACCGATCGAGTGAGACGTTGGTTCCTCTCCCCCCTGAACCTCCTTATCACCCGAAGGGTGGTCGTATAGGTAGCCCTATAGCTCTATAGCCCTATAGCTCAATAGCCCTGTAGCCCTAAAGCCCCCTAGCCCTATATCACGATACTGTAATCGAGTATGTGTTTTGCCACCCTGGAGGACCCAACATGAACTCCAGAAGGCCGGTAGACGGTATTCGAGCCACCCCAGACGGCTTCCCAGCGGTCAAGTCAGGTTCTCGCAGGAGGGCCTCAGGACGGCCCCAAGATGGCCAAGTAATACCCACGACAGCTTCAATACAACCTTAGACCACTGCACGACGGCTCCAAGATGGCCCGAGACTGGCCCAGGACGGCCTGGAGACTCGCGAAGTCAGCTCCAAGACCTCGTCAGACAGCCTGGAGAACCAACCCATTGGACGGCTCCAGGACTCTGACAATACCACCGTGACCACTCACGGGCATCTCACAGGCCCCCAAGGAACCATCAATGGATTGAGAACGACCCGCCACGAAAGACCGGTATCGGGGATGTGGTCGGGACACCTGGCGGCCCATATGGTGAAAAAGACAGAGTTGGAGTTGGGGTCTGGGAATTGGGGAATCGCGGAGCCCCACCCGAGCATTTCCCAAAGCAGGCCAGAGTTTTTGCCCCCCTGCTGCAGTGCTGTCTGTCCTGCGTGGTCCAGCGGCGATGATGACCTAGACTTCCAGCACTCCATTTTTTCGATGCGTGTGCTCCCGGGCCTCTTGACCTCTTCCCCAGGGTCGGTTTCTCATCCCGAGCGGTTCTCTGACGGTCCTAGGGCCCGAAACCTATCGGCCTCCAGAGGCCGAAAACGGCCACGAAACGGCTGCTTTTTTCACTTCCTCGAAGCGCTGGACGGTTGGGGAGCGGGCGGCGCCTAGACATGGTACTACACGCTGCTCAAGCGCATAGGGGAGCTGTTCCCCGGACCGGCCAAGACCACTCGCGCCTACCTCCACGAGGAGGAGGCCAGGCTCGACCGCGCAGAGGAGAAGGAGGAGGAGGAGGAGGAGGAGGAGGAGGAGGGGGAGGAAGAGGAGTGAGTGAGTGAGTGAGTGAGTGAGTGAGTGGGTGGGTGAGTGAGTGAGTGAGTGAGTGAGTGAGCGAGACAGAGAGAGAGAGAGAGAGAGAGAGCGAGTGAGTGAGTGAGTGAGTGAGTGAGTGGGTAAGTGGGTGGACTGAGTGAAAGAGCGATTGGGATAACACGTGCCACGGTGCTCCCATCTCTCCTGGGTGATTGAGTCCGTGGTGATCTCTGAGCGTGTGTGACGTTTTTTTTGCAGGGGGATGGTGGCAGGCGTCCTGAGGGCCAGCCTGTGCCAGAGGATGTCTACGGGAATGCGACGCCTTTCGCGCCTGCGAGTCCGAGTCCCCTAGTCGTGTCCGCGCTCATTTCGGCTCAGGGGGAGTTATTTCCTCCTGGGTGCATGCTGTCGGAAGCTTTTGGATAGCGTGCCGCTCCGCCGGTTCTGGCCCACCGCGCCTCGGCGCGACACGCTGTCCACTTCCAGGTTCCCCAGTGCCAACTTCCCGATCTTTTCCGAGCCTCCCGCCCCTCGGAGCGGAGCGACACGCTGTCTGCTCGCAAGGCATAGCGAGTTGCTGGGGCCGCCGCAGCGACACGCTATCCAAAAGTTCCTGACCGCAGAGGCTTCGTCTCAGTGAAACTCCGCGCTGGCAGGCGTCCTCGGGCGCAAGCGAGTCGCCTGATAATCACGCGCGCGCGCCCTCGGACTCTGGTGCCGTGGAATCGGCGCTTGCCTGCTGCGTCTCCTCTCTCTGGGCCTCCCAAGTGGCTGGCTCCAGAGTGTGCGGCGCTATGTGGAGCCAGATCGTTCCACGCCGACGTCACCGCTGCATCGCCGACGTCGCTGGTGCATCGGCGATGCATCGGCGATGCGGCGCGATCCTCCGACCCCATCCACTCGGACCCCATCAGGGGGGCCTCCAACTCCTCCCCATGGTTCTCCTGTCTCTCGCCGCCCCCTGTAGTGCAAGAGCCAGGGCACGCGTGCCACTCGTTCGCCAAGCCGGGGTGTCGGTAGAGGGTCAAGATGGGCGTTCGCTGCCCAGCTTGGCGCCCCGAGACCCTCACGCGTCGACCGGGCCTGCAGCACCAACGCAGAGAGATGGCGGCGTCGGGAACGATCTCGGATGTGGGAGGTCGGGGTCCACTTCCTCACCGTGTCGGAGGTCGGGGTCCTCTTCCTCTTCCCTCCTCCCCCCTCGTCTGGGCCCTCCGTTGCCGGCCGCCCGGATGGCCGCGAGGCCCTGGGCCCCCCAGAGCTTCCAGCAGGCCGCGCCACAGCGCTGGCCGCGCCACGCGAGGGCCCAGGCCTGGCCCCGCCGGGCCCCCCGCCGCTCCCCGCCTGCCCGGCGCAGCCCTCGGCGCCTCGCAGCCTCGCGCCTGCCCGGCGGCCGCGCCGTCGCCGTCCCCCCCCCCCCCCCATGCGGCGCGCGAGAGCGCGCCCGCGCTGCGCGCTCTGCCGCGGCGCAGGCGCGCAGGCGCGCCAGGCGCGCCCGCCCGCGCTCGTGCCCGCCGCCGCGGCCGCGGCTCGGCTCGGGCCGCGACGCGCGCCCGAGCCCGCGCGCCCCTGCCCGCGCGCCCGCGCGCGCGCGCGCCAGGTGGTGGAGGCGGCCTTCCGGAAGGCCGGCTACGAGGTGACCCGGAAGGAGCTGACGGCCACGAACTTCTACTTCTCCAGGCTCTTCGAGGCCAAGCCCGTGGGCAGCTCCTGAGCGCGCGGCGTCGGCCGCCCTGCCCGTGGCCGGGCCCGCGGTCCGCGCGGCTCTCTTGGAGGCCGAGTCCGCGGCTGCCGCCGCCGGGCCCGGCCGTGGGCGGAGCTCCTGCGGACTCGGCTGCGCGGAGGGGTGGCCCTTTGTCGGAGTGGCCTGTGGTTCGGGTCGGGCGAAAGGGGGGGATTGGGAAAGGGGGGGTTACGAAATTTGCTGCATGCAGCTGATTTCGGCCTCACCGAGGGGCCCATTCCTCGATACATGGCCGCCTCCGGCGCCGGGAGGCGCCGGGAAAATCAGCTACGTGAGCTGATTCTCAAACCCCCCCTTTGCTATCCCCCCCTTTCGCCCGACCCGAGTGGTGCGGGCCCACAGGATCGGGCATTGACAGAGCGCCCACCCAGGCAGGTCGACCGAGGAGACCTGCACGAGTTCACTCGACGTTGGCATTCGAGCGTGCTGGTGCAATCCGCGGTCGGTTTTGCTACTCGACGTGCGTTTCGCCAGATGCACTCGTTTGGTTTGGGACGTAGATGAGCTACCCCGCTGGGGTCCACGCAGAATGCGGTGCCGTGCGCACGTGGAGTGCCCGTGGCAGTTATCACTAAAAGGCGTTTTGCTAAATGAGGTTCTGTCCACCCCCGACAGGAGATGCTTTGGCTTGCGCGCTTAGATCTCCTCCCCCCCGCAGCCCCATCAAAGGCGCGCACCGAATGTCACTCTTGCTTAGGGTCACTGCTGTTGCGTGTAGCCGACGGATGCCTTCAGTGTTGGGAGCGTTCGGCCTCCATGCCTGAACACGTGCGCCCAATAGCCTCGGGTGAGTGTGGGGCTGCGCGCGTTCTTGCCCGATAGCCGTTTCCAGACCTCCCCGCGACTCGTGTTTTGGTTGTTGTGTTCCAGGAGGGGGACAGCACACGGACACAACTCATCCTCGATCCCAAGGAAAACTTACGGGAAGATATGGGAAGGGGTGGAAGACGAAGACCCAGGAACAGATGGGAGCATAGTGGGAGTCCTGGGATTTGTGTCCACTGACGTGTGTGTCCCTGGGCCCAGCGTGGGTAGCCCATCGCCAGCGCAGTTGCTCTGCTAAGCCGCCGACGCAACAAGTGCCCCTGGGCGCTCTATTGTTGGTCCCCCCTCGAACCTCGGTGCCTGGAGCCGGAGGCGCCCGCGCGGGGGTGGCGCGAGGGGGGCGGGCTCCCAGGGTGCCTCCTCGGAGGTGCACCGGCCGCTGCTGAGGTGGCCTCCCAGGGTTCGGAGGCGGCCAAGAGGGGTGCGTGGACATCATGGCGGGGGCCACGAGATCCACCCAGATTTCATGGCGCCTCTCCTCATTCCAAGACGTCCCCGGCCCCCCCCACATGCCGCCGGCCATGATTTGCGCTCCCCCCTCCCCTTCTCTTGGACGCCCCCCTCCTGGGCGCCCTCGATGCAGTCAACGCGCCCAGTAAGGACGCGCGCCTTCATCTAGGGTGCCCTTGTGTCCTTGCCTCTGCGGCCCGTCCTCTGCCGTTTCCCCTGGCCTGCCGCCGCCCAACAACAATCCCAGCTGCGGCCTCAAGGGTCTCGCGTCCTTACCACCCGTCCCTAACACACGTGTTGACTGTAGAGGCCAGGAGGGCCTCTGAGAGGCTGCCTGCCTTCTTGGAAGCCCCCCTTCGTCTTTTTGAGAGCCCGCCCCCTCGCGCCACCCCCTTGTGGGCGCTGTTTCGCCCGCACCCGCGGGAGGCGCGGGAACTCGTCGTCGTCGTTGTCCTCCTCCTCCTCCTCCTCCTCCTGCTCCTCCTCCTCCTCCTCCTCCTCCTCCTCCTCCTCCTACTCCTCAGCAGAAAGGGAGAGGACAGAGGGCGAGAAAGTCCGGGAGGCAGACAGCACAGGACCGACTCGGGCAGAGGCGGGTGGCGCCAACGAGAACACGACACGACCCAGCTGCCACTTCCGCCACCGCGTGTCCGCCCGAGCCGGCGCAGCTGGCGAGAACAGCTGGGAGGGCAAGGGGGAGAGGAGGAAGGAGGGAGGCGAAAACATGAAGCAACCAGAAGGGAGGGCGACGGACGCGCGGCGGGGAGGTGTGAGCCACCAGACCCTTCCCTTTAGGTGCTCGCGCGCCCGCCGGAGGCAAGGAGCGGGGCAGGAAGAAGGGAAGAGAGGGGAAGGGGCGGGGGCTGGAGAAAAAAAGCGCGGCAGCGGCGCAGCGCGGAGAAGAGGGGAGGGAGGAGGGCGGCGAGTAGCTGGCCGAGCCCGCTCGGCGCTTCAGTGGTGGGGGGCCCGCCGCTGCCCTGTAGCTGCGGGGCTCTCCTGCTTCTCCGCGCCCGCTCAGGCGTGGCGGGCACGGCGGGCCGCTGGCCCAGCGCCCGCGCTTTCGGCGCCAGGCCCCCTGGCGGAGCTGTCCTTGGGCGGACAGGCAAGCTGCGCGGTAGCCCTCAGCGTTGCTCCGCTGCAAGGTCACAGCGAGGCGCTCTTGTGTGTGTGTGTGTGTGTGTGTCGCGCTCTTCCGCGGCTGCTGCAGCCGCGCCGTCGCGGACAGCGCAGCCTCTGCCCGCCGCGGTCCGGGCGCCCGCCGCCGCGTTCGTGACCACGACTTCGACGTGGGCCAGTCAAGCGGTCGGGTCGGTGAAAGCCATGTCGAGCTGCGCAGCCTCGATGGCGCCGTCAGGCCCAACCCTGTCCCAAACGGGGACGCATTGCTCGGTCGCCGCACCTGTGGCCCCTTGCGCGCGCTCCTCCTCCTCCTTCTCCTCCTCCTCCTCCTCGTCCTCCTCCTCCTCCTCCTCCTTCCCATTCTCCTCGTCCTCCTCCTCCTCCTCGTCCTCGTCGTCCTCCTCCTCCTCGTCCTCCTTTTCCTCCTCCTCGTCCTCCTCCTCGTCGTCCTCCTCCTCCTCCCTCCTCCTCCTCCCCTCCTCCCTTCCTCCTCCTCCTCCTCCTCCTCCTCCTCCTCCCCCTCCTCCTCCCCCTCCTCCGCCTCCTCCTCCTTCCCCTCCTCCTTGTCCTCATCCTCCTCCTCCTTCCCATTCTCCTCGTCCTCCTCCTCCTCCTCCTCCTCGTCCTCGTCGTCCTCCTCCTCCTCCTCCTCGTCCTCCTTGTCCTCCTCCTCCTCCTCCTCCTCCTCCTCCTCCCCGTCCCCGTCAAGAAACAGCACTGGGTGAAAAACCCGGTCCTGGGTAAGAGCTCTGAGAGCCAGCGACCCGAGCAAGGTCGAGCCGCCGGGAGGTCTGGGCTGCGCGCCGCGTTTCTTTTTCAAACGGCTCCTCCGCGCTCGTGCGTGCAAGAGGAGCCGCCGTTGGCAAGAGTTCATCGGCAGCCGTTTCGCATGCGTCGAGGCGCGGTTCCGAGAAAAGGCGGCTTCACTGATCCTTGTGATGTTGTGCGTCAAGACGTGGCCTCCAGAACTCTCGACCTCATCCCTGGGTCTTGTTTGCGTAGCCTTTCGTCGAGGGTGCTTTCCCGTTTGTCCCCGGTCCGAGGGCAGGAGGCCGAGCTCAATGCAACAGTGCACGTCGTGATCTTTGAATCGACGTCTCGAGGTCTGGGCAGGACCTGGACGACCGCCATCGGTTCCAGCAACCGATTCAGCAGCGTTGACAGCAG